TGAGTTGGCACCAGAGGTTACGGACGAGTTCTATGGTCATCTTATGAGGGCTGGAGAGAGACCAAATAATCGGAGGGCGGCAGAAGGTCTCCATTTTTCTGTACAAAAACTCAGAAAGAAGCCGGGTGTCCGACTTTTAGACTGGATACCATTTGTACACCTAGGAGTCTAGTACAATCTTAAGATGAAATCACCCATGTATCTTACTACTGTGATTGTACCTTGTCAACTAACTCTCAAGTGGAATGGAGACGATTGCCTTTGAAATTCTGTAAGAAATTGAGACTCGCTCCCAATCATATGGGCCATTCACACTGGACTTGGAACATGGCACCATAGAGGATTCAAAATCGAACTGCTCTTGGTGGGTTTGTCTCAGTGTTCGGTGCGTGCAGTACAGTGGCCATGAGCACCGACACTTCAGCGGAGGATAGCCATTGTACCACAAAGGAGAATTTTCTAAAATATTGTTCAGTGATATTTACCGACATTAATTCAAGGGCCCATCCTTACTAATATGAGGAGGGACCAGACTAGGACCATCCACCGCCACCTTCTCAAGGTTGACCATAGACCACCTCACCGCCTGGCCAGAGGCACAGTATCTAGACGCCACAAGCTAATAGAAGGACTTAGCAGTTTGAAGAAGCGGAGAGAAACTCGACTGACGGAAGCAACATGGCAATGAGCGTAATATAAAGAACCTCGAGGGTCTGAAGCAACAAGCAAAGAGCCGGATGGCAAGGTGAGTGGAGCCGGAAACTGTTTATAAAGGTGCAATCTCATGCTTTTACAGACTGCTCACCCCATAACCTGGAGTTGGGTCACTTTTGATCTTGCTTTTCCTTTTCTACCCTTTTTTCGTCCGAAGCTGGCCTTCAATTTTTCATCCTCTTTGTGATTTATCACATTTTCATCTATTTACGACCTGCCAAGAATGCGTATCAGCCTCCTAGGATGGGTCTTGGCTTCTATTATACTCGTATCAAATGGTCGACCTGTTATATTGGTAAGTGGATGCCCATACTATCTCATTTCCCTTGAAACGGGCTAACACGATGAGCAGTCATCGACTAGCGTTGAGCAGCGCAGCATACATGATGGCGAGGCCCTTGTAGCAAGGACAGAAAACTTTGCTGAAGACCTCGTATCAAGAGACTTGGAAAAGCGAAAGTTTTCTATTGGGGGTGCTCTAAAAACTGCCGCTTCTGTCGTCAAGAAGGTAGCGAAGGCTGCACCGAAAGTCTTGCCAAAAGTAGCTTCAAAGGCAAAGTCTGTCCAAAAGTCTGCTCCCAAGAAGGCTTCTCCCTAAAAGGCTGCTCCTAAAAAGTCCAGTCCTGCCGCGAAGAAGTCTGCCAATAAAAAGTCTACGCCTAAATCCACAGCCGCCAAGAAGCCTCCTTCCAAGAAGACAGGCGCGTCTAAAAAGTCTTCCAATAAGGCCGGCAATGGGAAGAAGCCGGCGTCTCATCCACGCAAAGCTACAGCGTCAAAGTCTGGCAAGTCCCACAAGTCCACTACGTCAAAGTCACGTAAGGCACCTGCATCCAAGTCTGGAAAGAATGGCGTGTCCAAGTCTCGCAAATCGTCAAAGGCCGGCAAGCAGGCCACCACCAAGTCTCGAAAGGCGTCTCCATCCAAGTCTGGAAAGGACGCTGCATCCAAATCCCGCAAGCAGTCCAAGTCTGGGAAAGCACCTAAATCCAAGGCTGGAAAGGGTGTCGCATCCAAATCCCGCAAATCATCCGCGGCCAAGTCCAATAAAGGCAAGAAGGGCAAGGCAAATGCCTCTAAATCGCGTAATTCATCCGCTTCCAAGTTTCGAAAGGGCTCTGGCTCCAAGAATGGTAAAGCTTCCAAATCTAAATCGGGGAAGGGCGCAGTGTCCAAGCCGCGCAAGTCTTCCAAGCCCAAATCTGGCAAGAGCGTCGCGTCCAAGTCCCGCAAAACTCTTGCGTCTAAGGGTAACAAGTCGAAGGTATCCAAGTCTCACAAGGGTAATGCATCCAAGTCGAAAAAGAATGCCGCGTCCAAGTCTCGCAAGACTGCCTCGTCGAAACCCAACAAGAAGGGTGTAGCCAAATCTCGCAAGAGCCAATTGCCCAAGTCTAAGAAGAACGCTGCCTCCAAATCTCGCAAGGCATCTGCATCCAAGAAAGGTGTCTCCAAGTCTCGCAAGACCCCCAACTCCAAGAATCGCAAATCGTCGACGTCCAAATCCAACAAGAGCGCCAAATCGAAACCTCGTAAAGGATTGACCTCCAAGAAAGGTGTATCGAAGTCCGGAAAGGCTGCTGCATCCAAGTCCCGTAAAGCGAAAGGTATCGGATCCAAGTCAAAGGCATCCAAGTCCAAGGCTCGCAAAGCCCAAGCCTCCAGGCTTAGGAAAGGCACAGTTCCCAAGTCCAAGTCTCGCAAAGCTTCTACATCTCCCAAGTCTCCCTCACGAAAGCCAAGTAAATCCGCATCTTCCAGAAAGACCAGTCCTAAGTCAAAGGCGACATCTCAGTCTGGCAGACCTGCGAAATCTGGTAAAGCTTCTTCGACCAGACCAAAGTCGATCGGTAATAAGAAGACCACCTCCAAGCCTGGTCAAGGCCTCACTCGTTCCAAGTCCGCCGAAAACTTGTCATGCCCTCTTCGTCCGCACAAGCGTTCTCCCCAAGGTAACCGACTACTCTTTACATATTGCATGGGCTAACAATACCCTCATTTTAGAGGATGTCATGCTTACACATGGGTCTGTTGTCGATCCACCGACACAAGCTCCTTCTGGTGAAACACCCGCTCAACCCCCTGCTAGCAATTCCCGTTTCGGCAGACTTTCCTCCATCAAGATACCTTCTTTTAGTACTCCTCCCAAGACCACCCCCCTCAAAGTTGAGAAGGCTAACGTCGGGGGTATCAACAGGAGCACATACAGGGTTAACGGAGGCAAACATGACGGATGGTGGGCAAAAACAGATGGGCACAACAAAATCGGCCAAAACGAGGTCGATGCTGTTAAACACGTGAGTAAATTCAATGAAAGGTCTTATCTATTACTGAACAATGGTGTTCTAGTTCGACAAGTCTGCTCTTACCGGAAAGGATGCGAGTGGAAGAACCTGGATCGTCCAGAAAGACAAAGGAGTCGCTCTTGAGCGGCTTCCGCAGTTCCAAAAGATCATCAATGGACAGGGAACTGCGAATGAGAAAATGGCAGCAGTCGACAAGCTACTTCCTCAAAAAATGAACCAACTAGACAAGATGGTTACGGGGATAAACAAGCAAGGATGGATCCACTGGGATATTCAACCGGGCAATGTACGATGGGATCCTCGCACCGGCAAACCTACAGCGATAGACTGGGGGCTCGCACAAAAGTATAGAGAATCAGAGAAATGGTACAAGGGCGGGAAGGTTGCAGATTGGGTAAGGAACAGGAAGGATAATGAGTGGCCAAAGGAACCCTATGATAAAGGAAGATGGAGGGCCAATATTCATGTAGCAGTAAACCGGAGCCAAGCTCCGAAGACAGGTTGTTGAGAGCATGGCCACGTATCGAGTAGTATACAGATAGGCCTCATGATGCTTATGTATTTCATTTCATAGCCAATGATCGTCTTATTCAAAAAGTTTCGTTATAATTGCCTGAACGCAGTGACATTTTGGCAACAATCAAATCATTATTATCAGTTTCTCGAGCTTAACATCCATTCCAAGTTCCAGAGAGTAACGAAATAAACATTGAGATACCGCAAAATCATGCACTATCCCAAAAAGTGAGGTAATTAGGCAACCGGGGCGTTTCCCTTCTCTTTCCGCTTTGTTCCTTTTTCGATAAGTCCTTTGTTGTTGATGAATTTACCAATAATGACTTGCGCAGATCCTATACAGTTAAAGAATACGTCAATATAGATACCTAAATGGTTGACCGGAAGAAGAGTCACGCACCAATAACCTTATCG